TTTTTTTTCCTTCTTCTAAGTAAAACGAGTACGGCCAACCAGCAAGAAGAATTTTGCACCTCATGAACAACCCAACTGTACGAAGAAGAAACTTGCTACAGATGTTCACTCAATTTTATTTTTTTAACAAAGCTCGCTTAATTTTTTTACGGGCTTTATTCGTTCTATATATATATATATATAAATTTTGTGATATAAGTTTAGCAGAAAGTTCTGCAGTGAGGAGGGCGGGCCATCGATGGGTGAAATCCAAAATTTTTGCCTGTAGTGCGATTATAGACAAAAATGGATAGAGAAACCGCACCAAGCCAGTCAGAGGTAGAATAAGAAAAAAAAGAAAGCGGAGAGAAAGAGAAGGGGGAACGAAGGGGAAAAATAGGAAACAGGGAGAGAAGAGAGAAAGGAAGGAAAAAAAGAGAAGAGAAAGAAAAAAAAGAAAGAGGAGAGAAAGAGAAGGGGGAAACGTCGGAGAAAAAAAAAAGACAGAGAGAAGAGAGAAATAAAGAGGAAGAAGAAGAAAAAACAGAAGGAGGAGGAGAGAGAGAGGATAAACGAAGGGGAAAAATAGGAAACAGGGAGAGAAGAGAGAAAGAAAGGAAAAAAAAAGAAGAGAATAAAAGAAAGAGGAGAGAGAACGTTGGTAATACTATTTTATTGCCCAACTTGGAAACCATCAGCAGAGAGACACGTGGATAGCGAGTTCGATGAGAATCGCTTTTGAGCGATTGTGAATAGCATTCCTCTTATTATTATTATTCCCTCCTCCTTGTTGCTCTTTCTCCTCTATTTTTGAGGAGAAGAAGCGGTTTTGCTTTTGGAAAAGGAAGTTAGTGGTGCTCTTGTTTCTGTCGTTCCAGAAGTCGGCGACAAAGGAAGGACTGCAGATGAAGGAGGACCAAGACTTGCATACGCACCTGCACTGCATCATCAGATCCTTTGGTGGTAGCCGTGGGAGTATATGGGAGAATATGATTTCGGTTGGGAGCTCCGGGCTCAAATTTAACAATTTCCTTTTACGACCTTCTCTGGCCATCGAAAGACCTGAATATAGTACGCTACGCTAAGAGGCAGAAAAGAAACCCAGAGATGCTAATATATACGTGCTTTTTAAAAGAAAAGCAGAGATGCTATACTTTCGGTGGTTTGTAATTGTTGGCTTGGCATTTATAGGAAAACAGAATAACAATCCAAAAGACGGAAAGGAATCCTAGCCATATCTGAATTAATATCCTAGTGGGGGAGGGAGGTGGTGTAATTGGCGGGGAGGCGTTTGGGTTGTTTAGGGAATTAGACAATATTCGACCAAACAAAAAAACAGATTTAATGCCCTTTATTATTATTAGTACGACTATAACTTATATTTCTCCTCAAATATATTGAAGTGTGGCATTACTATAACTTATATTACTCCTCCAAGGTTCTTCGGATTCTGAGCATGCATTACATTGCCAAATTCATCATATTCTGCTAACACACACAAAAACAACATAGTTAAATTCAAGATTTACAACTAAATACAAATGCAATCGGGTCAATGCACTACATTTACATAATCCGAATTTGAAATGAGAGAAATTACCAGAGCAAAAAGAGGAAAAACAATTGTACACTTCCGCAATGATGAAATCTCCTGAAGTAAAACAATCATTTTTTCACGAATGGTTTTTGGCAAACAAGTAGCCGTTGGTCACTGCCATTCTGAAGGTCGATCACCCTTGCTTCCCAACGTATTTGTGTAGCAAACATGCGCGCCATCTCAATAGCTCCCACTTTATCACAGAGAACAACAAATCCCTGCCAACCGGCCATAATTCATGTCTCAAAACGGGATTTCATCACAAAACACCAAAATATAGAAGAAGGTTATAATTCTTTGCATTAGAAAATATCACAAAATTGACTTGTTGAGGCCTTGATCGTCGCATGCCAAGATGGCAAGCAATATTATTTAAGAAATAAAGAGAAAAAAACAAGATTTGTATCAGTTGACAACTTACAAAATGAAGTTTGATTTCCAAAGGTGGATTATAAAATCAATATTAGGAACAAAAGAAGGAAAGACAGACAACAGACTTATTCATCTTACTTTGCATCTTGCAGTATAGAAATATAAAATAAGCAAGGGGGAAATAAAAGTACCTCAGGTTGCAGAATCCGATCCATCTCCAAGAATAAATCCATCATGCTGCGCCTCTCTGAAGACAGATGTGAGAGCAGCCCATTCGCATGCAGCAAATCATAGGTTCCAGGATATGTAGGGAACGGTTCACACCTGTACCAACAGATAGATCACAACTATGACTCTACCTCAAAAATTAAATTCCAGTAACATAGACTTGCAGGCACACATGTATAGAAAGGGAAAGAAAATAGGATATAAAGAGCACAAATGAGTCCTAGCTTTTTTAAATTCAAATTTTTTCAACCTTAGTTAGAGTTAGTCATTCTCAAATTTTTTTTGCCTTCCAAAAAACACAGTGCATCTGAGCTACACTGAAAGAAGCTTCAAATATCAAGTTAGCCAGCAGAGTTTCTGAAGGAACTGAAACCAACGACTTACCAGTCATGCAAAACACCAGCAAAACCTTGATCTAGTATGAGAGGAAGTGTATAGGGAGCATTGACAGGCACGAGATTCATCACCCAAACTGATCTTCTTTCCTCCAGAAAAGCAGCATTTAAACCCCCATAGTGAGCACTCATATCCATCACATTGCGTATCATGTTTAATGGAGATAATGGGTCTTCATCACCTGGTCTCTTCGGATGGTCAGAGAAAATCAAGGGTGTAAGCAAAGACCAATAGTTTTTCAGAGCTGATCTCCAAATCTGTAAGTCCTCAAAGAAATCGTCAGGCTGAACTCCTGCAAAAATAAAAGGGTATCAATATGCTGGCAGAGCACCATGAAGTGAAGTGTAGAACTGAATGATCATGGCAGAGATACAACCATAAAGATTTTAATGCATTCGGAAGTTGGAACCAACCACACTCTCCCTAAGAGAGAGAAGACCCAAAAAAAAAAAAAAGATGATGGAATAGTACTTTCCATGAATTTCAAGCTCATCTGAGTTCAACTGATGGGGCCTCGAGGACCTATTTCGGATTGGAGTCCAGCGTTTGTTGGTGGTCCCACTTATACATGATACAAGAGGCTTATAATATGACTGAACATCATGCCCTTCATTACAAAGTGGTATAGCACCCTGCTTGCTACAATAAAGAACGGAAAGAAGAACATTACTAGGCTTCTTTTTCAAAGGAAGAGGAAAATAAGTGGGGCTCTTTGAATACACTAATGCAATGGCGCAAGTCAATACCAAAGCTTTAAACAGTACTGAATTTTCAAATATCAAACTAACAACTCTTTCACAAGAGACCGAGGCAACGTTTAACTATCCTCACCGAGATGTATTGCAATCAGAATCCACAGTTTTCTGCCACATAAAAGTTTCATATTGCGGAGCTTTAGAATCCAACAGATCTTCCGGGTCGATTCCTCCATTGGTGTCAACATGCTATTCTTCATGCTCAATGAACTTCCATATGGCTGGGTTGCGGATGAGGTCAAAACAAAGTAGTCGCCAGGCTTGAGTGCCCAGTCAACTTCTAAAAGCAACATCCAATCTGATTCATGAATTAATTATGGTTACATGAGAGGAAGTGTATTCAAAAAAGCATAAGACAACTCATCCTCTAAGGTTATTAGCATTAGAGAGATAGAGGGACTACTCAACCCCAAAGGAAGCCCAAAATGTAAGAAATATGCCTAATAAAGTCCAAATTACCTTTTTTGTCCCAAACAATACCACATTGAGCACAGTGAACCATTTCAAAGGACAATGCTGGATATGGAAGCTGTCTTGTAATAAAGTTTCCAATCATTGCTGAAGACCTCTCTCAAGGGTCAACGGAACTTGACTGCCAGTTGCCTCATATGCCGCAATACAAACAGACATTACATTTAGTGATACTAAATGAGCTCCAAAGCTACCAAAACTGCAACCAATATCTAGTACAGTTTGCACCTGTAGTTTTAACATAGAAATAATTAAAATATATAATGCAAAGGATAGTTCAGATGTTACATTTATCACAAATATGAAGCAGAAGTTGCATTTTTTTTGCTTCCAGCATAAACCTAAATTTTGGACTATGAGAGAACAAAAGATAAAGTCCCCATTGACTCTATTTATTATTATGGTAAATCAGTGTATCAAGATGTCAATCTGAGATCTTATTTTGGTTCAATACGTCCACCTACGAGACTGACCTTTGGCTTTTGTCTCGGTACGTGTATTATAATAAATTTTCCCATACGTATTTAATACACTCTGGCCTCTTTGAAATCTAACAGTAACCATGCCCTAGAAAGTAACAGCAGATAATCATAACTGTAATTCACAAAGAAGGCTTACACCGGCTTGAAGAAATTGAGAATCATCATTTAAACGTAGCATCTTCGCAATTTGAAGAGAATAATCCTCGACAACATAAAAAATCAAACCATCCTCAGAGTGAAAGGCAATTTTATTTTCTTCTAGTAACATCAACCTGAATAAATTGTAAAGAAGTTAAAGAATGACTCTGCACAGAAATAATTATTCACACACAAACGAAAAGAAAAGAAAACACTGAAACTAATACAATTTGCATAGAGTCGAGAAATTTAAATGTTGTAATCACTGGTGAAGATAAAAGATCAGCAATTATTTAAAAGCTGTTAAATATATAGCTTCAACAGGGAAGCACCTTTTGGTCATGCTCCCAGGCAAAAGAAATTGGTCTTTGGTTATCTTCACGTTTCCACTCCATATCACATCCCTACCAGCTGGCCACCTCCAAGGAATCTTATAGTCCTTAGGAGGGCGAACTAGACACCGTTCTCTGTTTCTTGATACTTCACCATGCCAATCAAACTCCTCCCTATCTTTAAACCCCACAAAAAGGTTTGCTGAAACATTGTAACAAGGCACATAATTTTCTTTCTCTGCCACAAAGGCCAAGCTCCCTTTGTTGACTAGCCCCTAGTGCGAGAGACCTCAGCTCCAGATCGCAGCTTGCTCCTTTAGCCTCCTATAATTTGTAAAGATGTCGGGTACTGAAGTAGGAGTTAGAGAGTCAAATATATTTGAAGAGGATGATCCCAACACTGGAATTAGTGCAAGAACACTAATGAGGCACAAGAGCAGCCAATTGAGTGGGGGTCTAGGGCCAAAAATGAGAGAGAGTTTATAGGACCAGGAGCTTCTCATGTCCGAATCATTCAACCCCGACTTAAGAATTCCAAAATAACCCAACTAAATCATCAACTCATTCAGCTTAAATCTCCAACAATAGCGAAAACCATAACCAATCATAACATACAAGCTTCTATATATGTATTTGCACAAGTCCGGTTGATTCCTACAAGCATTGATAGAATGAACTCCACTTCTTCCAAAATAACATCTGCAAATCTTCAGTTTCTGATTGTGCCATCAGAAAAACAAAGGTCAGATCACAACCCAACACAATTCAGTATGAATCAGCAAATTTTGAAACTTGGCATAACCAATTATTGCCAAATTCGGAAAGAAACAGGACTAGGACAACTTGACAAGTGTTCAGCCAAGACCAATCTGCTGCAAAAACCAAAGATCCACCAAATCAATCCATCACAATAATTGTCCCAAAGAAAAAGTCCCCATTTGGTTGCTGAGAAAACTACAAGTGAATCTTACAACAGATTCCACTGACAAGATTCCAAATTCCATTTTCATTTTCCACTCTTCCCAGCAACCAAACAGAGCACGATAAGCCCAGAATAAATGCATCCCTTTCCATTTTTAGATATCAGTGAGCCAAATTCCAGATCCCGAATTTGGAAAACAAAAATTTCAACTCAGATCCAATCAAAAGCAAAAGGAACCCCTACCATCCCATAAATAATCAAAAAGCAATAAATCCAGATTGCTTCGAATTTAATAACAGGAAAAAGAAACTCATCCTCATAACTGACAATTAGGGTTTTGGGAATGCTCCAGGCTCGAACT